GTAATAAGAATGAGCGGCTGTCAGTAATTGTAGGGCAGGTGTTCAGGATCCCTTCGAGTCGGTGTTGTGCCGTTGCCTGTATACTGTCGGCCTAAATGATTGAGCCGTCGCTACATGGGTAAGGAATAAAAATTTAAAACGCATTCGCTCTGGCTCCACCCCTGCTTAGAAGCAACAGGTAAGCCACCTTGGGAAACTCCATGGTGACGTGGGTGTTTTGACCCACACTTTGAAGCAGAATTCCTGAAACATCTGCGCTTCTTAAGCTCGACACACTGTCGAAACAGAAGTATCCCTATTCAACAGCTATTGCTTCTCCCAGATTCACCTGCAGTGCTCCACCCTATACATCAGTAACACGTGGTACTCGTTGTTTTTCACTGACCGCAGTAACGAGTCGCCTGGAAAATAATGGATCTTCTTGTATTGCTGCTGTTGTGCAGTGCTCCACTCATCCGAGGACACAGCTCAGGTCTGGTTATAGACAGTTGTGAAGAGTTGAAATCCCATCAATCAGGGCTGAGCCCACAAACGGCACCATCGCCCTTCATAGTCACCACAGAGCAAAGGCGCTACAGAGTTGGAGAGGATGTCAAAGGTAAGAGGAGAGGAGTAAGAGGGTGCCAACTATACGGACTGGTGTTCTGGTACCTTCAGTATCGAACAAATAAATCCGATGTATAGATTAACGCATATCGCGGGAGTTAACTGGTCGTGAGCTAAAGTCGGGAGTTCCTCCCAGCTGACAGTGTTTCAGATTTGCTATTATCGATCAAACGGATAAAACGCCACGTCCTGATGATTTCATGATCGATCAGCTGTTCTCTCATTGCCATTGATATGTTTGTGATTTCAGCCATGCGACTAAATCAACAAAGAGCATTAAACCTCAAAGCAGCAGAATCTCTGTACATAGAGAAAATCATAATGCAAATGATGGCATTCTTAGATAATAATACGTGTTTTTAAGGGCTAACCCCCAAATAGGGAAACAATTATATATTTTCAGGCAATTTAAGATGCATCTGTTTTATATGTCAGACTCTGACATATCTGCTTGTAATACAGTAAAACTTTGTTTTCATCACATGACTGAGAACACCGGTGCCGGTGTTGTGCCAAAAACTGATTTCCAATGTTTCTGTGTATTTT